CCCATTTTTGAGGCTTTTTTCAGCCCATTTTCAAAGCTTTTTTCATCCCATTTTGAGGCTTTTTTCAGCCCATTTTCAAAGCTTTTTTCATCCCATTTTGAGGCTTTTTTCAGCCCATTTTTGAGGCTTTTTTCAGCCCATTTTCAAAGCTTTTTTCATCCCATTTTGAGGCTTTTTTCAGCCCATTTTTGAGGCTTTTTTCAGCCCATTTTCAAAGCTTTTTTCATCCCATTTTGAGGCTTTTTTCAGCCCATTTTTGAGGCTTTTTTCAGCCCATTTTCAAAGCTTTTTTCATCCCATTTTGAGGCTTTTTTCAGCCCATTTTTGAGGCTTTTTTCAGCCCTTTTTCAAAACGTTTTTCAGCCCATTTTTGAGGCTTTTTTCAGCCCATTTTCAAAGCTTTTTTCAGCCCATTTTTGAGGCTTTTTTGGCCAATTTTTAAAGCTTTTTTCAGCCCATTTTCGAGGCTTTTTTCAGCCCATTTTCGAGACTTTTTACAGCCCATTTTTGAGGCTTTTTACAGCCCATTTTTGAGGCTTTTTCAGCCCATTTTCGAGGCTTTTTTCAGCCCATTTTTTGAGGCTTTTTTGGCCAATTTTAAAATCTTTTTTTCATCCCATTTCGAGGCTTTTTTCAGCCCATTTTGAAAGCTTTTTTCATCCCATTTTTGAGGCTTTTTTCAGCCCATTTTCAAAACGTTTTTCAGCCCATTTTTGAGGCTTTTTTCAGCCCATTTTCAAAATGTTTTTCAGCCCATTTTTGAGGCTTTTTTCAGCCCTTTTTCAAAGCTTTTTTCAGCCCATTTTTGAGGCTTTTTTGGCCAATTTTCAAAGCTTTTTTCAGCCCATTTTTGAGGCTTTTGGGGCAATTTTTAAAGCTTTTTTCAGCCCATTTTCGAGGCTTTTTTCAGCCCATTTTCGAGGCTTTTTTCAGGCTGTTTTTTTTTAAAATCAAATCCCCAGCACCGCATAACGGAGGGAGCTCCCGTGACTTGTCCCAGCTTCTGCCAACCTAGCAGTTCAAAAGCAGGTAAAAATGCAAGTAGAAAATTAGGAGCCACCTTTGGTGGGAAGGAAACAGTGTTCCGTGCGCCTTCGGTGTTGAGTCATGACGGCCACATGACCCCGGAGACGTCTTCGGACAGCGCTGGCTCTTGGGCTTTGAAACGGAGATGAGCACCGCCCCCTAGAGTCGGGAACGACTAGCACATATTATGTGCGAGGGGAACTTTTTCCTTTCTCTTTAAAATCACTATCCCGCATTCCCCAAATACTTTCCCCCCCAGTTTGTAATCGTGGCCACACTTCTTTTTTTCCTCTCGGTGATCCTGTTTCCCCCCTCCCATTCCACAATCCTGAAATACTTTCCCCCTAATTTGCAACCTTCTGAAATTTTCCCCATTCTGAAATCCCTTTCCCCCCACCCCATTCCGCGATCTTGAAATCATTTTTTCCTCTCCATTCTCCCATCCTGCAACGCCCCCCACCTCCTTCCCTGGCACTGTAACAAACACGGGTTTGTACGTTGTATTCCTACCTTATCAAATGCCTTTTTTTTTTTCCAGAGCTTGGAAAGCTGATGCTGTTTTCCAGGGAGAACCGAAGAAGAATCAGGAGATCTCAGCTACTGGCTCAAATCCTCTGTGCTGGGAAGGAAGTTTGGCAAGCTCTGGCACAAAAAAAATAAATGTATGGCACTCATCCAATATGAGAGCTGGCTTGGCTAGAACATTAGCAATTAAGAAACTTCCTTCAAATGTCAATTATTATTATTATTAAAAAATTGAGCGAAGTCAGACCTCCAGGAAAGAAATGTTAAAGCAACCACAATGGAATGAAGAACCAGAAAAGGAAATGACTTGAGATTGCCCAAAAGCACTCCAGGCAGCTGCTCCTCACAAGGGACTATAAATCTCCCGCACGTTTAATGGTACGGGAACACTGGGAAGAAATACGCCTCGTCCAGGGGTGAGTTTCTCGCCCCGTTCCAACCGGTTCGGTTGGAATGGGGCCGGCGGCGTCCTCGTGCACGCGCGCAGTGCAAGCATGCGTACTAGCGCCTGT